CAACGTGAGATGGTTAGAATTTTACTATGAAGTATTTGAGCGGTGTATCTTAGTGTACAGACAGGATTTGCTTGTATCAATTTCACGTTAAGTGGACGACTGCGCAAATCCAAAGTTCCTAATCACACGGCTCTACCTGTATGGATAATTTCGTTTCTGGATTCTATAGGATAGTTGTCCAGCGGATGTAACATAGTGCATGTGGCTACATTTGTGTTTATAAATTTGGTTTTAGGCAAGCTAGAACAGTTGACGGATGAGCATGAGGTAAAGAACCAGTATGAACTTAGGTGATTTCTGATACCATGAGCACTGTTGCTACTTGTATTTCTCTCCATAGATTGCAGCCCTTCTTTGCATCGATGTGGCTCATTTTAATGAAAAACAGCAGGAAAAAAAAATGTGCCACAGCCTTTAAATGTATATATAAAAGTTATGTACGGATTTAAGTATTTAAAGATGAAAGGAAAAGTCCTAACTAACATCTGTAATTCTGCTGCTGTTTATCAACTGCGGTCTGTGGGGCTTTATTTCAAAGGACCTTAGATTCATGATATAAAATGGCAGTTGTGGTTTATTTTGATATTCTCAAAAGCCTCACGAACTGAAAACCCTGGAGTTCTGTTTGGGCAGATATGTTCCCAGCATGAGGGAGAATGAACATTTCAGAAAAGATGTCGAATTGTTTCTTTCATTTGATAAGTCATGACAACAAAATTATGGTCTTGACAAGTACACCCTCCGTAAAGTGATCTAAACGCTCTTATATTTCTTTACGGAGGGAGTATTTCCCCTCGTTTTTAATAAATCCTTGTGTTCAGTCTATCATGGAGGTGGAGCCAGAAAAAGAACTTTTGTTTTCTTTTCGACAAGAAATATTCCAGATCCATTTCAAATGAGGAATCACAACGCGCTGACCGACCATGGCATGGTAAAGCTTTAGTTGAGGAATATTCTGGAGGATTCCAGAGATAGGTTCATTAATCTATTTGAAATGAGGGATCACAACATGCTGTTAGTCAGTCTATATAACTAAAGGGAAGTCCCATTAAGCTTTATATTTTCGGCATTCTGGTAATTTTCTGAAAGCCTTTTTTCACTTCTGACCGGCTTGCATGCTCAGCTGTTGCTGGGGTTCACCCCGCACCTCACCGCACCCTTGGCTGTACCACAGAACCTAGTCGAGTAGTCATCCTTTTAGGGGTAATCATGAGCTTTTTGCACAAAGTTGTGGGCTAAATCGCCAATTTCAACATCATCGATTTCTGCTGGAAGTCTGGAACCCAAAGACATAGAAACATTCAGGTTGCATTTCGGTCCCAGTTTAGCAAGGCCATGTCCAGCTTGGTTCTAGAATTACATGTGCATAGCTCAAGCGTCACTCCAGGAGGACATGTGCTGATCAGGAGCTTGATGTCTTCAATGACCTGCGTCGTGGCTGGCTAGTCCGGTCTGCGGCGATCGCCTACTCAACCGGCCTGTCCTTGGTAGAGAAGGCATCCCTCATGGGAAGAGATACTCCGAGTTGGCGATTTCTATGTCCGAGGGATGGCCGCCGCTCAGCACCGTCCATGCAACATCTGACGCAAGGACCCCATTACCTCAGGGGAAACATAACACATCGAATTACTGCATGCTAGTTAGTGCACAAAACAACGATCATCTTTGCATGTAGGTGCTGACAAAAAACTCATGGAAAATTTATTAATTGCTTTGTAAAGTACTCCCTCTGTAAACTAATATAAGAGCATTTGGATCACTAAAATAGTGATCTAAACGCTCTTATATTAGTTTACGGGGGGAGTATATACTTGCATGATTGAGCTCCTATCCTTCAATAAGAATCCAAATATAAGGCGTTCAAACCATGAAAACAAGCAAACAATAATTCTGTCTTAACAGTAGAACTAGCAAAGAATAATTTTGAATAGTCACTTATACTACTCCAAATTTATTGAACAATTTACCACTGACATATAACTTATTTTAAAATACCGTGTAAAATTTTCATCAAATTATGAGCTTCTAGTAAAAATCTAAAATGCCAGAACTAACAACATAGCTGCTGAAAGCAGCAACTAACAATCAACAAACAACCTTCTTGTTCTTGATGTAATTCTTGGCTCTTTATTTTTATAATACAGTGGTTATACAAAGGGATAATTAATTTAATTGAGAAGCTTACATGACAAAAGTTTCACATTGTTTCCATGGGCATGAACAAAAGTTGAAGGTCCACCCCCACTTCTTCAATGCTCACATTTTCTCAATCACTTCTCTTTTGATTATTTTATTTTATTTTTACCTATTAGTTTCTTGGATAAAAGTGGAGTTTACAAGGTATCATGGAGGATATTACATCAAATTCTAACCCTCTTCCTATTTGTTGACATTGCATACGAAAACAAGTTAATAACAAAGAGTAAATGCCAATGCATATTAAAAGTAGTTTCTTGCAATTTTAGCATCTTGGAGACATTGAGAGGGCACTCATATCTTCATCTATCATAATTATTGCAAGAAGTAGCATCAAACTTAATATTATAAGTTTAATTAACATCATCATGAGGACAAGCAAATTTTAGGCCACGAACATAGTATTCAATACACTCAAATTTCTCCTCTAAAGTGTAGTTAGGAGAGTCCAAAACCATCATAGGACTTCCATAAGTGAGAGTAAAATAATTATTCATAGTTTCATCATCCATAATAGTATCATAATCATCTTCAAGTAATCCGTTCATAGGTGCATTGTGATATTCATTCCAATTTTGAACACAGTCTTCACAAAAACAAATTTCATGTAATGAGCTTTGTGTGTCATCCATTAGTAGCAGCAACACGAACATCACAACTATCATCCATAAACCTAGAGAGCAAATCATCACAAAAATACATAATTTTGGTATTTTTAAATATAAAATCAGACCCTTAATATTACTTAGTATAAAAAAACAAGTGCAAATGAGAATATTCGACTTAGCGTTATGCTCCCGAAAACGGCGCCAAAAAGGTCTTGATAATCCCCAAGTGGAGTTACTATAGCTCTCTCCAATGAGGATGTGGAGGTATATGAGTGTTATAGCCCCTAGGAGCTAAATGTAGGTTTCCTACTCTCTAGTAGGATAGGATTCAAGGAGGTGACTAAAGTACTTATAAAAGATAAAAGTAAAATGTCAGGGGTTGTAACCAAAAGATTTACGAGAAAAACGAGAGAGCTTGAGTATGTGGTGGTTGTGATGAATGTAGCAGGATCCAATGTGAGCAAGTTTCTGGGCAATTGGCTAGTTTATATATTCATGGTTGATTTTCTTATCTTGGGAACAAGTCTAATAATGACACGAAGATGTGTCGCGGTGTCTACCTAGGCAATTACCCTTCATACAACTTTAAAAGTTATCTAGGCCTGAGCGACTACCCTTCATAATTGAAAGTTATCTCAAGCTTAAGCGATGACTGTAGGATCGAAAGTATGTCTGGAGGGAGGGGTGACTGGACTACTTGACCAAATGAAAACTTGTCCTTTTCCCAATTTAGTTGTAGGCAAGTTTTAGCAATTCTACCAAGTCAAGAACACCCTACACATGCAAGTCTAGGAGTTGAGCAGCGGAAAGTAAAGAATTTGCATATGAACGTAAAGGAGAGATATGAGAAATCAAACGCAATGAAGACACGATGATTTTTGGCGTGGTTCCGATAGATGGTGCTATTGTACGTCCACATTGATGGAGATTTCAACCCACGAAGGGTCCACGAAGAAGCAACCTTGTCTATTCTATCATGGCTTATGTCCACGAAGGACTAGCCTCACTCGGGTAGATCTTCACGAATTAGGCGATCTCCTGACCCTTACAAACTCCTTGGTTCAACTTCACAAGATCTTGGAGGCTCCCAAGTGACATCTAACCAATCTAGGAGACACCACTCTCCAAAAGGTAATAGATGTGTAGTTGATGATGAAATCCTTGCTCTTGTGCTTCAAAAGATAGTCTCACCAACACTCAATCACTCTCTCACGGATTTGGCCATGGTAGGAGAAGGATTTGAGTGGAAAGCAACTTGGGGAAGGCTAGAAATCAAGGTTCAAATGGTAGGGATGGAATCTCTTGATCTCAACACATGAGTAGGTGGTTCTCTCTCAGAAAATGAATGGTGGAAGTTGTGTTTCATTCTGATGGCTCTCTTTGAGAGTAAGTGGGGGTGGAGGGGTATATATAGGCTTCACCCAAAAATCCAACCGTTACAACCTTTTGACCCAAATCGGTGATACCGGATCAAAATCCCGGTGAGACCGACTAGTGTAAAATA